GGTTTCTAGTAATGAGACATAGATATTTGGGCGACTTTCACTGCACATCTTGGGACATTTTTTTGAGGTTACAACTATATCATTATGTCAAATTGCTACGTGCCGTATTGCTTTTTTATTCTTAAATTTACACTGACGGTTATTGGATAAAAATGTGTCAATTTGCAGGTGGATTGAGTTTTAAGTTTTCTTGTACGTACGTTTTGCGTTTTATATTTTAGCGAGTATTTTTCCCACGTAAACATAAAATAAGTCTTAAAAAGACTTATTTTATTGGTTGTTGAAGTAAAATAAACAAGTTTTAATGTTCAGTATATGGAAACAGTATCATTATTTACAAAATAAATAATTAAAAAGAAAAAAAATCAATATCATAATAAACCGGTTTGTTTCCTTAAAGAATAAATAAAAAATAAATAAATGATACTGAACACCCTATTTCATGATATTCAAAATCGTTTAATGAATCTTATTACGGCAAATGAAATGTCATCATTAGAAGACGATGTTGGACAAGTTTCATAACTTCGTATGTGTATACTAAACTTCTTATATCGAGGTAGTTATTAAATTTTACCTATGGTAAACAGTAACACATATCTACTTGCTAATTAAAAAACATGTTACATTTTTTTTTTGTTTTGTTTTGACTGCACGGATGGCGTAGTAGTTTAAGCGGTCACCACGCCGCTTCCTACTACGCCGAGTGTTGTGGGTTCAAACCCCACATGGGACGACACTTTGTGTGATTCACAAATTGTTGTTCTGAGTCTGGGTGTTCTTTGTGTCCGTTTCATGTATGTTTGTAAAGTCCCCCGCGACACAGGATTTATTCCTAATGCGGGCGTTGTCTTTTTTAAAAAACAAAAAAAAAAAAATGGCATCATTCGAGTTTTTATCTCATGGGAACAACTTAGCCCGAGGTCGTTGTTAAATAAATAAAGTCAATTATTGAAGAAGGTTCTGTAGTAGTCAAGAATATTGGTCTAGGGGTAAGTGATCCTGACTTTTAAGCCAGAGGTCGTGGGTTCGATTCCCAACCAGGACAAATATTGCGTGATGAGCACGATCATTTATTCTGTGTCCGGGTTTTATTTATTTCTGACATCTACGTATTTAGAAATATATAGGTTGTTTTTATGGACGGGTCGCCTGAAGGAAAGTATGTGTGTTTATCAGCAGTCTGGTTACCATAGCATAGGTCTGCCTAGTTTGGGATCAGATTGCCGTGTTTGAGATGTGTCAAGCTATTATTATTATACATTAAAACACGTTACACTGCTGTATCACAATTACGTACCTTTAGTTTTGAATGACAATATGAGTTATGATCAATGACTACAAGAAATTATTAACTCTTTCTTTTGGTCTTCTTTCTGCATGTTAATGTAAATAACATAGTTCTAGAAAGAAATATTTTTGTCAAGTTTAAAACTTACTTAGTTTGCATAGATTTGTGTTTTGTTAATCAATATTCTTCATTCCATGATATATAATTATGTATACATGATTACGAAATATATGTTATATACCTTTGAAATCCCTGGCGTTTTAGATCATTAGAATAGCGACACGTCATTTTACATACAAAATATGGACACTGTTAGTGTTCTATAAGATGGTATATAGTGAGGAGAAGGCTTCGACGACCGCAGACGTGCACCTCGGAGCCAGTCGACCTGTGATCAGGACCAGTGCTACCTGGTCGAAACGTAAGCAAATTCAAAGCTATTTTTCAATACCTATTAGATTTATTTTTTAAGACATCTAACACATAACACCATCTAGTTTCCATTTACCATTTAAACTAATTAGAGCTTGTGTACTATGAAAGCTAGATTGACTGATAGAATACCTATATACTTTTTTTTTGTAAATACATACATATTATACATAGAAAACAACCAAACTCCGAAACAAATATTTGCAGATCATACAAAAATTTGGTTTGACGCAGGAATAGAACCCGAGACCTCAGAACAGCACCACCAAAGCAGTTCAGGATGATCTCTTTAATTCCGTACATACAAAATTCTGTACAAATTATCAGATACGGATCCCAAAACCCTAAAAATACTCGCAAGGTGATTCTAATTCTTGGAAACTACACCAGTCTGATCATTAGTGACCTTTAACATTAATGTCATGCATGGTTTAAATTGGATAAGAAATTTGCACGCTCGATTAAATTTAGTGATTGTGTAGGAGTGGCACCAAATTGTGTGTTTGATTAAAAATTTTAATTGATAGGCAAACCAAATTGGTTTAAACCTTTACATTTATATAAAATAACATAAATATTACATATAGAGTGATTTTATGTACAAATATATGTATATACTCCATAGTACTAGCAATGATTAGTTTGGGTCTAAATAAATTCGTCACCACAGGGAGAGTCTGATATGATTGTATGAAATTTAACAGATGCACCGGACCGTAGATAAGTATGTACTCACTCTATAGAAAGTGAAATCCATATAATCGAAGCAAATGAAAACTAGTTAATAATAATTTTAAAGTTGAATTTTTAAATGCTTTGCACATTGTACACCAACTACTGAGTAAACAATAGTACCTTAAATAACCAGGCTCTATTTCCTGTTTACTTAACGTAAGTAAACTTTCGCCATGCTCTACTATAAGCAGTCTGTTAACTCCTTCTATTGTAACCTGTACTAATTTCTTGTAGCAACAAGTAACACGTAGGCATGGGCTAGTGTTGGGAACAACATTTTTCTTTTTGTTGTTTTTTAAAAGACAACTTCCGCTCTAGCAATATATCCAGAGTCTGGGACTTTACAAACATACAAGAAAGAACACACAGACTCAGAACGACCATTTGTGGATCACATAAAGTGTCGTCCATTGTGGGGATCGAACCCACAACACTCAGCGTAGTAGGAAGCAGTGTGGCAACCGCTGTCATTACGCCGACCGTGCAGCCAAATGTAGGCTTTTTGTCAGTCCATTGTATTTATTTTATCATATTTAATTTTACCATTAAATTTGTTGCTTAGGCAGGTAAAAATTCATGGTCCAGGTCATCAAACCTGTTAACAATCCTTTTGCATTAAAGTCAGAATTAGAATTATATAATTTATTTTATGTGGCGTGATTATTATTAGTCTCTGTAATAAAAGAACAAAATTTGATTAAAAATTAAGAATGCTGTTAGTATAGCGAAATAAATTTGATTTTACTAGGGTTTATATTTTCATTTACTACCTGCTTAAAAGATTGCTAAATTTGCATTTTGACCTAGGAAACTTAGTATCTATTGTAATAACAAAAACAATATGTAGGAAGTAATAAGACAGCTACCCAGAAGCACACAAAGGTTTTTAAATTATTTTCTGAGTAGCTTATGAACTAACTAATTATGCGTTCATTAAAGTATATAATAAAAACAGGTACATTTAACGGTTTTTAGATTTTTTTAAAATTTTATATTTGGACAATCGATGTTTAGTATATAGAATTTAATGGTTAGTAATATAGAACAACACTAGTTACTAGTACTCATTACCGCGACCCGTGTGGGAATTGTCTCCGTTAGGTCATCGACCCCAAGTGCACTGACGCGGCGCGTCATACGGATGCGCCTGCGCAGTCCACAATCGTGCTTCTACTCTTTTTTTGTATCGCGTTTATTGAACTTTGTAGATCAAAGGTATTTTGTTCTTTAATAATAAATCATAATGTTAAAAGCCACTGAATGGTTTCAAATTCATAAGCTATGATATGCTTATCAATATGAAATCATTTAGTATTCCTGTCAGGTAGGCCGAAGCTCTTTAAAATTTGACTCTATAGGAATCTAATTTATTTAATAAAATAATCTGTAACTTCCTTACTTAGGTAATAAACTGATTGACAATGATCATTTTGTCTGTGCTATCAATACTCTATCGCCTGTTGAAGTTATTTTTCACGAATAATATTAAACTTTCTTCTTTTTATTTACATGTTATTTATAACATGACCTTTCTTTTTAAAAAGTTAATATAAAACTTTTTAAAAATAAAGGTCAGTATTTAATAGTACTTATAATATGTGTATTAACCAGTAAACTCGTTTTGAAGTTGTGTACAGATCAATAGTAATGAATTAAAAATGAAAATGGTGTAATTGGTTCCTCTGCCCTTTTTTCAATTTTGCGAGGTCAGGCGACAGGCCGCTCGCGGTGCGGAGCATGCGGTGCGTGCGTGCAGAAGGGGTTTCCCTTCCATCTGCCACAGACCTCCAGAAGGTTAGGTCCGCGTGTGCCTAGACGTCACCTAAATGAGAGTGTTTACCCGGTTGTAGTGCCTGCACTCTTGGTTATGAGTTACGAATTTATGATCTCGTTTATGAATTACGAATCACTATCATATCAGTGAAACTCTAAAACTAACCAGCGACCTTACAATCCAGGTAATACTCAGTGTAGTTGGTAGGTGGTTATAAACCATCTAACCTTCTTTAAGCCTTGCCTAAATTTCTGATAGTAAAGTCAATCTGAAGTTTAGTAGTATTTTCCAATGACTTATGTGTGACATAAGTATACTGTAGTAATACGAGTAAGTTTCAACTTTCATCAGTATTCATAAACTTTCAATACCTTTGCATAAAGATTTGAGATCCCTAATGCAAAAACACAATCGTTATTTGAAAAACTTTACAGCGTGTTCAATAAACAAACATGTCAGTTCTTTTAGATTTAAAATACTTTTCAAATTATAGATAGCGAGCATTAAAAGTATATTAACCGGTGACAACATTAACAATTAAGGAACTCTCAGTTATTATTTACATTTTAAGAGTATTGGTACAACATATCCATTACGAGCACAAATATTATTAGTTATACGCTAAAGTGGCATCTACGCTTATATATTCCATAAAAGAAAACATTTCCTCCGCTCAGTAAGCTTAAACTACTTTTATGTTCTTCACGAAGATTTTCTATTGTTACAGAGCGATGTCGCGGTGGAAGGGTATCCTGAGGTAGCCGGCAGATGGCAGCAGTCAGCGCGGCGATGTTCCGACCCGGGGGCGGCGTCGACCCCTCCTGCTACGCCACGCAACGGGTAAGTTCAGCTATTACTTCAGAGATGGCGCTAAATAGATTCCATTTCCTCTCAACTCTAGTTTGCAACTGTCTCCAGTTTTTGTGTATGTTGAATTTTTACAGGGAACAAATGTGATTACACATTTTTTAAGAAGGCTATTCATTAAATCTCTAACTATAGTTTATAGCACAGTTATAAATTCAATACACTATTTCATCACTCTTCAGAAGTTCTTCAAAACACTCTTAGGTATTTTGATTCGAATATCGTTTTTTTTATACAATTTTATTGCGATATTCGTTACAAAATAGGGGAAATAAAGTTTTATAAACTCTCCGGACGTCCATATTTTCTTTTTTTTTTTGTTGACGGGGCGGCAAATCGATTAGAATCTCCTGCTCCTCGGGAAATCAGGAGCCAAGATTACGTGGTGATTCCACTGAAAACCACCCCGACGGCCAGCCGCAAGCGTCCTGCTCAGGGAGAAACCGGACCATGTTTTTTCAGGCCCTCCCTGAATCGACACCTAGGCATCAGGCGCTATCCACTCCCTCCTCAATCGCGGCGTAGCGGCCATGTGTTTTTGCTTACAAATTATAGGTTTATTTCCTAAAAAAATTTGTACAATTTGGTTTACACCTCTATTCATGAGAATTATCCCTAAGTTATGAGATCGGCACAAATAAATAGTTTTTATGTGTATTTACTAGAATTTTACTAGAAATTTGTAAAAAAAAAAAAAAATTTAAAGTCAAATAGATTTTTTGTTAAACGAATCGTATTTTAATAGTTTAACAGTTTATGATAATAACTTGATAAAGACTACGATTTGAACCTTTGACTAATAATTATATAAGTTTAAATTGTTTTTTTCTTTTAATAAAAAAAATAACTTGAAAAATATAATTTAATTAATAAAGATTGCATGGTGTTACTTTAATTTATAAACACTACACTTAAAATATAAAAGAAATCATGTGTATTTAATTTTTTGATTCGATGAAATGTATTCCAACAATTTTTCATATTAATTCAAATATCATCAAATCAATTTATCAACAAGAAAAGCAATATATCTCATACGTAATACTCGTATATAGTTGAAATCTTTAGAAGTAAGAGAATATAATACGTATACGTACATTTACTCATCCAGTCGAATGTATTCTCTGCTGTAGGATAAAATATAACAATACAGACAAAGGAATAAAATATGAAGGGTAAATAAATATGTTCAGAAATCGCTATCGAAAGCAAAGTAGACCTTTTCAAGACGAAATAGTACGTGACAGATAAGTGACAGTATTCCAATGTATATAATCTATTTCAGTTTTTACGCATGAGTTTATCATGACAAGGTTTCGCTAAATGTTCTTATTTTATTAAAACAAAATAAATCATCTTAGATTTATTTTGTATTATTACAGATATCGAAAACATTTTATTTTGACGAGAATAATTCTATTGAAATTAATACTAGGGGTAGTTCTATTGATAGATTTATTGTACAAATTCCCGTATTTCTTGTACAAATGGGAGCCTACTGTTGAGTTCTTTTAAATAGCTTTTGATTTCCAAGCTGTTTCTCGACCGGTATCAGTATTAGCTTTGCGCCATGATATTAGCTGACATGATCGTCAAGCATAAGTTATCGTTCTTAAAAAGAAAGCTTTAACCAGTTGTAACATTAATTTCTGATTTTTTCAATTTTCATTTTTTATTTTAAGAGATTGATGATGGTTTCTTTTGATGTAATTCATTATTAAATGTCTCAGTACTGTATGTTTGTAAGGCTATCATGTAGAAACATAAGAGTGCATTGATTGTTCTAAATATTGAGATTATTACTTATATACATGCATTATTTAATTTGAATATGTGCACTAAATTTTGCAAACATTTTAGCGTCCTCAGTATTAGTAGTACCGGTTGCGCATGCGCCTCTGGACAAACAATAAGTATGGTGGATGTTTGTACCGCCATAATGGGTCTGTAATCAGGTCTTTCAAACAGTGCCACCGTTACTTGCTTATATTATCTTAAGTAATTTCATATTTAATCGCTGTAATTTCCAAACTTTCTTATTTGTATATTCTTAGTGTTATTTTTATGTGCATACTGTTGACACTGACCCCTGACACTGCGCTCCATCTAATGTGACGAGCAATAATCGTAACCCATAATATATTTATTATTTATCGATTTCGGATCATCACTTTGCCTTCACCAAGTATCACCTTGCTTTTTGATATCGAAACACTAGTTACTTTAAAAATTCCTAAATCTCTGTACGCCTATAATGTATGCTTTTAAATTTCAAAAGTTTACCATCATCACATTCGAACAAACCAAAATAAAATGAAATTGGGACAGCCATGTTCGACAAAAGAAAATATGTAATAATGTAGATTAATAATTTAAGTTTTGAGCATAGCATGCCCAATTCTAAAATTCGTAATGTGAATTATTTGTTCAATTACAATGACGGAACTCAATCACTGTACAATTACATGGTTAAGGTTAATTTTGATTTGTATTCCATTGATGCAAATTTTTATATCATATTGTCAAGCTATACGCATACGTTTAGCTGATTTAAAAATTAACTACTTTGTTTTTTTTTGCTTTTTTTTTGCTTTGCAATTTATGATATCTCTTCTTATTATTTTATTAGTAAGAAAAATTAATTATTATAGTATTCTAGCAACTAACACTGGTAATAAATATCGAACTACCTACCTCCCTACCTACCTCCACAAGTTATAGTTAGACAGGTGTTTCATGTTTAGAAAAACATTATTTCCAGAAAACATTAACGAGAAACTGATACGAAGGAAGTAAAAGTTATGCATATGTTGTTACTATTATTAAAATTTATTTCTTTTATCTTTAACATAGTATTAGGACTTGAGAATTTGGCGACTATCCTTAAAGCTGATATCTTGACCTAGTTTTAATTCTACATGAGTGTAATTTATTAATTGTTTAATACATACATTTTCAGACCAATGTAAAATTAAATCAAACAGAATGTATTTTGTCTCACTCGCAGTTCAGTTCGGATGATTTGCGTCGGTGTATACATAACCTTGACTATTTTCTGTATTATAAATAAATAAAAAGAGAATGGTGAGTACCATTCTCTTTTTATTTATTTATACGCTTTATTTCGAATCAATTTATCTTGGGGTTAAACAGTGAAAATCCATTATTTAGTAGAAGATAATTCGGGCCTGAACTTTTCGTTGAACCCGAACGACACCTTTGAAGTGCAATCAGCCTTAAGAGGGATTGTTCTCATTTGCTACTTTACTTTTGAATGAGCTTGTCTCAGGTAGAAGCGAGATGCATCAAGTTGAGTCAAGCAATCAGAGCTCCAAAGTATCGCCTTCTTCATAAGGCACTTGATTTAACTACTTTATGTAAGTACCTACCTATCTATGTACTTGTACATGAACAGCGATTTGGATGTTATCTATAGACACACTACTTATGACTGTGACAAGTATTTACAATCACGTTGTGAGAAAAACAGTTGTAATTCTTATAAGAGATCGTGCAATACCACGTAAGTAATACCTTATTACACCAACTCGTCGGGAAATTGCAAGCGAAAGTATAGAAGTGAGACGCCACGCAAAGAAACTGTGATATAAATTAAACTGTCTTTTACAGTTCTATTGTGAACGCAATTACAGAGATGAAAATCGATCTTGTTATACCGTGCGAACATCTCCGATGAATGTAAAAATTGTAACGTGAATAAAGTGAAAATTGAGTCAAATTGTTGGAGAAGATGGAGCGGAGGCGTAAGTCATTTTTCCCTGATGGTACATCAATCTGAATTAATAACTGATTTGAAATCACGAAAATGTGTATCTAGGTTTCATAATTCTTTCGAATGAAATCGTTAAGTTTATGTAAATTATTTACTTAGTTGAAAATACGCATGCTGTGGTCTCCTGTAATTAAAGGAGTACACATAACAAATACCCGTGTGAAATGTATTTTTGATATATTTTCTGTACATCCTTTGTTGAAGATTCCTAAATAAATAAATAAATTAAAAATTCACAAAATGCTGTCAATTCTAGGATTGTTCCTTAGGAGCTTAAAAATTGAAGACTATCAGGTTGATGACGTTAATGATTTTACGTATCGATTACATAGTGTTGATTTTTGGTATGTTGAATAAAATTAATCATCACGGATCCACATACTTCTTTTGTTTTGTCTAATCATAATATATAAATTAGAATCTACGTACTTTAGTCTATAGACAAAATTAAGCATGAAAAATAAGGCTTTAGTAGACAAACAAATGCCTAAAATAACAACGCGATAAAATCATAAGAGAGATGATATGAAATGGGCGATGTTTTTTCAACGGTATTCGGTTTACATGCCCTAAATGTAATAACTCTTCCCAACATTAAACATTTCTCATGAGTGAAACGCAAAAATATTTATTCTCAAAACGTGATGTTATAAAGTTATATCGTATAAAATTCAATAGTAGATGGTTATTATTATAATTCTGATATTCAAAGTTTTAATATGAGGTCACAGTAATTAAAGTTTGTTTATTATGTATTCCGCTTGAATTAGGAGTGGTTCTGGTTTAATATCTGCGTTCAGTTACTTCTTTATCGAATAAAAACTATTAAAAAACCTAAGGTACAAAACGTCTTGACTGTAGTACGACCTTACTTTCGATTAGAGTACTATCAATGACCTTTTTTAGAGCAGTGTATCTTAACATCACGACATGATTGAAACGAGGTCAGTCCTACAAAGGATTCTCGATCGGTAATCGTCACTATAATACGATCTTTTAAGAAACATCCTAATCTATTTGAGTGTGTTTGAAGTGAATTTCTGTAGAATCATATAGTTTAAATAATACGTTGGTCATGTTTTGAAATCATTTTATATAGTCTTTTTTTTTGTATGAATCAGTATTTATGAGTCAGTAAGCAAAGCTCATAAAAGGAGGTATATTTACCATGTGATATTTG